ATATAGACCTATAACCTGCTTGCAAACAATTTACAAAATAATAACGTCTTGCGTAGCCAATATTATTTATAAACACATAGATAGCCAAAACATTCTGACAGAAGAACAAAAAGGATGCAGAAAATTTAGTCAGGGATGCAAAGAGCAATTAGTTATAGATTCGGTTATTCTCAAAGATGTGCAGCGACATAAGAAAGACCTATATACAATGTATGTCGACTATAAAAAAGCATACGATTCTGTCCCTCACTCATGGCTGCTTCACATTTTAAACATTTATAAAATACACCCACACATCACACACTTTTTGGAAAATATAATTAAGACATGGCAAACCCGACTACACTTGAATACACCAATAGGAACAGTACACACAGAACTCATAAAGATTCAGCGCGGTATCTTCCAAGGAGACTGGCTTAGTCCTTTATGGTTCTGTCTAGCCTTAAACCCACTTTCGAATAAATTGAATTCCTTGGAACCCGGATTTCAACTTAAATATAGGGAAACGGGGACTACCACGACTATACAGACCGACCACGAAAATTGTAAAATAAATCATTTACTTTATATGGATGACATAAAACTATATGCGTCCACCCCGGAAGATCTACATCGATTAGCGGACACCACAGAAATATTCTCAAATGATATTGTAATGGATTTTGGAATAGATAAATGTAAGATTAACTCAGTCAAATCAGGAAAAACTTACACTCATTCATATCAACTACAGTCAGGTGAAAATATTGATTCTTTAGACGAAAACGGCACATACAAATATTTAGGTTACATACAAGCGAAACAGATCCTACATACACAAATTAAAGCCCAACTAACCAAGCAGTTCAAACATAGATTAAAAGTAATATGCAACACTCAGCTAAACTCCCGAAACACAATTAAAGCCATAAACACATATGCTATACCAATCCTTACGTATTCCTTTGGCATTATAAATTGGTCCAAAACCGGGCTCCAAAATCTACAGCGCAATATCAATACCACACTTACAAAACACAGGAGACATCACCCGCGATCATGCCTACAAAGACTCACTCTGCCAAGAAGTGATGGCGGAAGAGGCATTATAGATATTACCAACTTGCATAATAAACAGATCAATACCTTAAGATCCTACTTTTCCAATAATAGCTCTGTCTCCACTTTACATAATGCAATAGTTCAATGTGATAAAAAACTAACACCCTTAAATATGGCTGATCAAGCAACACAGAACAACGAAAGACTGACTGACCGACAAACTAAAATCTCTGAATGGGCCCAAAAGTCATTACATGGGAGACACTACCACGACCTTAGCCAACCTAACGTCGATAAAGTTGCATCGAACGAATGGTTAAGGCGTGGTGAATTGTTTCCCGAGACTGAAGGGTTCATGATCGCGATTCAGGACCAGGTAATAGAGACACGCAATTACCAGAAGCACATCTTGCATCTCCCATTAACAACTGATACCTGCAGGCGATGTAATAGTGCATCGGAAACCATCCAGCATATTACAGGCGCTTGCAAATCCATAGTACAAACCGATTATAAGCACAGGCATGACCAAGTAGCAAATATCATTCACCAAAAAATGGCTATAAAATATAATCTAATTTCTTCCCCGCCAGTACCACCAGTCGACAAAAGCTATTAAACACGTAAAAGAAATAATAGCCCCACATCTAGCACACATAATTAACATGTGTATAACAGATGGAATATTTCCAATAAAACTAAAAAATACAATTATAAAACCACTACATAAAAGGGATAGTAAAACATGTTTAAAAAATTATAGGCCAATTGCTGAGATACCTATACTCTCAAAGATTATAGAGAAAGTTATATATAACTCCCTGTATGTCTATTTTGATAAATACCACTTATTTTGTGACGAGCAGAAGGGATTTCGGAAAAACACTACAGTAAACATGGCGGTATTTGACTTCCTAGACGATATTGTAACATGTGTAGATAAAAGAAATCCAGTTTGCGCAATATACACGGATATGACTAAAGCCTTTGATTATGTGGATCACAATATCTTGTTAAATAAATTACACAGTTATGGTGTCCGAGGAAACGTCCTTCAACTTTTGAAATCGTACCTCAGCGACAGAACTCAGTATACGGAGATCAGTGGGCTATGTCCGAGGAGTAAGCTAGAAACGACATATTTATCAAAACGAAGACATATTAAATATGGCGTCCCTCAGGGCAGCGTTCTTGGGCCGTTACTTTTTCTGATATATATTAATGATTTACCGAAAACTACATCACACAAAATGGTCCTATTTGCAGACGACAGTACAGTCATCATAAAATGTAAAAATGAACTCGACTATGAAAATGAGATCAATAAATGCTTATATGATATCATCAATTGGCTTAACAAAAATAATTTAGTAATTAACTTAAACAAAACAAAGGTTATGCACTTTCATCAGCGTCGTCATCAAGAAAATATTAAAATCGCGTATGAAAACCGTTGTATTGAGCAAGCAAATAAAGCCAAGTTCTTGGGTATAGTCATTGACGACGTCCTCAGTTGGAAGCCTCATGTTGAGGAGTTATGTAAAAGGTTAAGTAAATCCGCATACGCGCTTTTCCAACTTTCAAAAAAAGTAAACCTTCAGGCTCTTCTTGCAGCATACCATGGATTCGTTGCCTCGGTATTACGCTATGGCATTATATTTTGGGGGCAGTCTACAGATAGAGAGCTTGTGTTTAGAATGCAAAAAAGATGTTTAAGGTCAATGTGTGGTCTGAAGACCACAGACAGCTGTATTGCACACTTCAAATCACTAAAAATATTAACATTGCCCTCCATGTATATACTGGAAACAGCTGTATTTGTAAAACAAAATCCTCACTTATTTCCAAAATTGAGCTCAGGCAGAAATGTTCCCTTACGCACCCAATATGTTAATAAATTAAGCCAAGTAAAATGTAAAACAGCACTTATGTACAAAAGTTTGTTTGGTAATGCCCCTAGAATTTATAATAAGATTCCCAATGAAATAAAAAATACAACAGTAATTAGATTTAAAAGTATTCTCAATAAACTATTATTAAACAAATGCTATTACTCAATTGAAGAATTCCTTAATGATAATATTTTTTGACAAATTTAATTTATTTCTTGACAATTTCAATTTTTTCTTGACAATTTTAATGTATTTCTTGATAAATTTGATAATTTTAATTGACATAATTTTGACATACCTTATTTTTATTATTTTATTATTATTATACAAAATTTAACTGAAATTGTAATAATGTTTTAAATGCATGTACCTAATATATTTGTATGTCTATCACGGCAAAACATAGTGGACTATCTTTATATTTAAGACCTTATTATGTAAACTACCTATGTTTAACAAATAAATGATGATTCTGATTCTGATTCTGATACCATACTATAAATATCAACCGGAGACTGTGCTTGAAAATTCATCCCATAAATTATACTTTGATAGAGCCATCCTCACTGACAAAACCACTCATTACAATAGACCAGACATTACCCTAATTGACAAAACTAACAAAACTGCACAAATTATAGACATAGCCATACCAAACACCCACAACCTACAAAATACAATAGCCGAAAAACTGTCTAAGTATACGGACCTCAAAATTGAAATAGCCAGAATGTGGCGACTCAATAGTGTCACTATCATTCCCATAGTACTTTCAACAACAGGTGTGATCCCAAAACAACTCCATAATTCAATAAAATCTCTAGATCTCCCACCTTACACATACCAAAGTCTACAAAAAGCTGCTATTTTAAATACTTGCCATATAGTTAGAAAGTTTCTGAATGAAACAGATGTTTCGTATACCCACACCCAAAATTGAGACAACTAAGTGGGTTAGCACTTGGCTTCGGCCCGTACTAACCCTCAAACCCGGCCTTGTAGCCGAGCTAAGATAAAAGAAACAACGAATAATAATAATAATGAAGGTTTTTATTCGGACAACAAATAATCCACTTTTGTTAGTAACTTACATGCTAAACTTAAACACTAGGATTAGTAATAATTACAATTATATTTGGCAACTTTAAACTTAATGCGTCATGTACTTACGAGGCTCCTCAGAAGGACAATGATTCCTCATGAGATGCCTCAGTACAGGAGCTCTCGGGTCCTCGGCAATGACTTTCAGGATGCTGTTGTCACTCCCCCGGATCCTTCTCACAAGCGATGCCACCTTTTTTCTGATGATCGCATGAAAACTATCTGTATGCGATTGAGCAAACATCCCCGAGGCACTACAGAAACGTGGGAGTTTCAACATCATCCTGAAAACATTATTGTATTGGACGCGCAAGGCGCTTAGCGTTCCACGCGAACAGCTGAACCACAGACTTCCCGCATACAGGTACATACATAATGTGAGTAACCCGCGATTTTTAATTAATTTTGTATGTCTCACGATAGTTATTATGAAAACATGTGCATGGGTTGTTTGTTTGACTGGAGTGATACCACGACCTCAAAAATTGGCGTGAAGCAACACTAGCTGCCTCGTTGGCCGAGTGGTCGCAATTGCGACTGCCGGGTATGGGGGTCTCGGGTTCGATTCCCGGGTCGGGCAAAGTATTACTGGGTTTTTAAAAATTCTCACTAGTAGCACGGAGTCTGGAATTGTGCCCGGTATATGGCAATAGGCTCACCCCCTATTACATGGGACTTATAACATAAATAGTGAAAAGTGGGTGTTACATTGTACAGTGGTATAATGTGCACCTCTGCCTACCCCTTCGAGGATAAAAGGCGTGATGTTATGTTATGTGTGTTATGTTATGTTATGCAACACTAGCTTTATGTTTGGCCGTGTGAGTTAGCGATCTTTTATCGGATGACTAAAGTCCCCAAATAGTCGGCAACGCACTTTATAACTTCTCTAGTGTAGCGGATGTCCATTGGTGATCCGTCTGCTTGTTTACTAGCCTTTCTCATAATTTTATCTTTTTCCAGCAGGAGTGGTGCGGTGCCCAGGCGGAGGGTATGCCGGAGGAGCTCGCGTACGATCACTGCGACGGACCTTACCATCGCGACCTCTGGCCACCAGGTACACTCATACAGGGCCGTCCTAGACTATGCTAAGGCCCTTTTGGAACATTACCTTTACCATTTTTTAACGTTGCCCCACACTAGGATTTTCTCCTGTATCGTGGGTGCGTTTACAAACATATAAGTTTACTTAAACATGACACCCAGACCCGAAACCACCCTGTTGTGGTGAATACGGTCCTGCACTCATACAAACTGCCAACCATACATATACATTATGTTTAAAGGATATTTAACTGTGTCCGAACAATACCGTCAAAGTAAACATTTGAAATAATAAAAAGTAACGAACCATCTTTGAGACTGAGGTATAAGTTGTGGTTGAGACTTATTGAATCTGAACCAGAGGTTGAGGTTGAGACCAAGGATGACACTGAGGTTGAGTTAGAGACTGAAATTGAGACTGAGACAGGTTCAGACGGCGTTTGAGACGAAGCCTGAGACTGACGCGTGTTGTGATTGAGACAGATTGAGACTAAGACTAAGGTTGACACACGTACAGTACACACGGCTATGGGCAGGTCCCGTTTTGTACGATGTCCCCGGCCACTGGACGGTCCGTTTGCCTTGGTTCCAGTCCGCGAGGTGTCCCCCGGCGCGGTCCCCGGCGGGCTGCCGAGCGCGGAGCTACTGCGCGCCGCGGACTGCTGTCTGCACGACACCTACTGCACGCTCAGCGAACTACATGACTCGGTCAGTACCACTACTTCGATCATTAACGAGGAAATACAGGGGACGCCGGGAAAGATTTCTGGAAGTTTCGAAAATTGGTAATTTTGTAGATATTGAAGCTACTGATGACAATAAAATGTACAGTGGTATATAGTTCAGTCATTTGGTAGTTCTACCGGGAATGTTTGTCCCGGGTACGTCCTAAAAGTGCGACCAGACACCGAGGAATGGGCTGCAGCATTCCTTAAATACATCGGTGACCTAACTGCGATCCCCAAGCCGCCTGCCAAGCTTGAGGATTATGGCTAAAACCCGGCCCCTAGTCCCCGGCAGCTCCGCTATTCCTGATCTAGGTAGCGGATCAGGTAACGGTGGACCAGGGGGTGCTAAGAATCCCCGGCAGATGAACCGCTACCACCCCCGACGAACTTTGGCCCTGGCAACACAAAACATCCGCACACTGCGGACCGATGAGAGGATTGTCGAGCTGGAGGAAGAATTGAGCAAAATGCGTTGGGACATCTTAGGACTGTCTAAAATCCGAAGAGAGGGCCAGGATACGATGGTCCTGGATTCCGGCAACTTGCTCTTCTTCCGGGAAGGAGATCAAAAATCCCAGGGTGGTGTCGGATTTCTCGTCCGCAAGTCCCTCGTCAACAACGTGAGTAAAGTTGACAGTGTGTCGAGCAGGGTAGCGTACCTTATACTTAGAATATCACACCGGTATTCGCTGAAGGTCATACAGGTATATGCGCCGACCTCGACACACTGCGATGATGAAGTAGAGGCTCTGTATGAGGAACTTTCCCAAGCCATACACACCTCCGAAGCTCACTTCACCGTTGTCATGGGGGATTACAACGCGAAGGTGGGCACACGGAAAGGCGAAGATCTGAGAATGGGGCCCATTTGGGTATGGGCAGCGAAACCGTCGGGGCCGGGGCTGGTCGACTTTATGGAGAGAGAGAGACTCTTTCTAATGAACTCCTTCTTCCGAAAGCGACCAGCTAGGAGGTGGACGTGGATAAGCCCCGATGGTTACACCAAAAATGAGATCGACTTCATCATGGCGACCGACAAGCGCATATTCAGTGATGTCTCTTAATAGCTAAGGTGAAAACCGGCAGCGATCACCGTATTGTCAGAGGCACCCTGAATATCGATGTCAAGCTGGAGAGCTCACGCCTGGTGAGGTCCACACTCCGTCCTGGTCGCGCCCAGCTCCAGAACCCCGAACAGCTCCAGCTCCCAACTGCATAATCGCTTCCAGTGCCTGGCTGAGGGAAAAACGATTGACGAGTTAAATAATGGGTCAGTGGAAACTGTCCAAGCGGTGGGCGCAGAGTTTTTCAAAATCCCACGCCGAAACAGACTTCAAAAGCTCTCGAAAGAAACACTCAAATTATTGAAAGACCGACACGAGATGAGGCTGCAGTCTTCAGTTGACATGTCTGGATACGGCGAACTCAATAGGCGAATTTTAAAGTCTATGCGACACGACCTTGTCACGTTTATAAGACGTGTACAAGAGAGAAATAAAACTAGGTTTAGAATTAATAAAGTATGTGGGTATATTAAAAAAAATTGAAGGGTCTGCCTAGGTCTTTAGCACTTGCTTAGTCTTCCACACTTCCCTGGCGAGCTCCCGTCCTCCAGGCGTAGTTCCGTCAGCTCGGCCACTCCACTCAGGTGCAGTGACAGGTTCGGTGTCCGGTTCGGTTATTGAAAAATATATTAAAAAATAGGCAAAAATAGGCAATTGTTTGAAAAAAGAAGCGATAGACATAATTTTAATACTAGAGGCAAAAATAAGTTAGCTATACCGCAATTCAGACTGTCCAAAGTACAGAAATCCTTTATGGGGTTAGGTATTAAATGCTATAATAAAATACCAAATAGCATACTAGAAAGTTCTCAGTGAAAGTAAATTTAAAACATATATTAAGCGCGAATTATGTAATCAAGCCTACTACACACTGACAGATTATCTTGAAGATAAGAATGCTTGGCAGCATGTTGGTTCGGCTCCACTGGACAATACTCAAATGTAGTCAGTAGCTAAATTCCAATAGTAGGTATTTTAATACATAATTTAACACTTTAATTCTAATGTAGACAATCTAGTTTCCTTATGGCATCGAGCATTTCTTTATTGAAACAAAGAGTTTCCTTTTCTTGTATAGAAGCACTAATTCTATGGATTGTCAGTATGCATATGTGAGCACCATGTTGGACTTCAAGATTTTTATATATTTTTTAATTTTAGTAAGTTATTAGTATAATTTGTCAAGCATGTCTTTGCATTGCATATGCGTACAGTATTGAAATATGTATCAGAGACATTGTAGAACATACTTTAAAAAAAAAAGAGTAACGAATGGAGTTTCTTGCTCGTTCTTCTCCATTCGAATCTACTTTTTGGAATGAGCACCTAGCTTCACCTAGTTTCACTGACGGACTGACTGACAGACTATTATTTATTTTGTATTTGTTGACGTTTCAAAAGCACCAAACTATGGTTTAATTGAAATAAATGCTTTGACTTTGACTTTGAAACCGTGACGTAATTCCTGGTGACAAAGGCCACATCAGTGAGCTGCCGGTATAAGGGGTGCACGGGAAACGCTAGGTATGCATGGCAAGAACTACATTGGCAAATTAGGGCTTACAAAGGCGGGAAGAATTCCAGGCGTGATACTTAATCGACACTGTAGGTAATGATCGCTAGCAGAGGCGGTTAAAAGCATATACTAAGAACATAGTGAAGGAAAAGCAAAACATTACACAAGGATAGAAATTAATAAGCTACGATAGTTAGACAGGCCCGTACCTTAAGATTAACGCAACGAATATAAAAAAAAGGTAAGTAATGGCCGTTAAAATTCTTTATGCACAACTTACCCAAGTTTGGGAATCACAATCACTTATAGGTAGTTAATTTCGTTTAGGAGTATGGATAAGCAATCCAGACTCAAAATATTTTATAATTATTTATGGCTTTATAATTCGCAATGACGGTAAGTATGTCCGTGCCTCAAGAGGTTTGGCAGCGGAATGTCGTCTCGCTTGCGCTCGCGCCGGCTCGTCGCGCGGCCGGGTGGCGGGGCGCGACGAAGAACCTGTTACTCCATATATATAAAATAATCGGCAACCCATTGTCGGTATAGCTCGGGATCCAAGAGCTAAACTGACACGGCACTACACCGAGGATATCCCAGACATCAGCCTGTACGAGATTAGGAAGGCTCTCAGACAGCTCAAACATAACAACCAGGTGATGACAGAATCACAACAGAACTTCTGCGAGCGGGTGGAAAACCGATACTTTTAGTCCTCCAGAAACTGTTCAATTCCGTCATTCTCGAAGGAACTACGCCGAAAGCATGGCAAAGGAGTGTAGTGGTTCTGTTCTTCAAGAAGGGTGACAACTCTTTGTTGAAGAACTATAGACCCATCTCGCTTCTGAGCCATGTATATAAGCTGTTTTCGAGGGTCATCACGAACCATCTTGAACGCAGGTTTGATGACTTCCAGCCTCCCGAACAAGCCGGGTTCCGGAAAAGCTTTAGCACCATAGACCACATTCATACGCTGCGGCAAGTTATACAGAAGACTGAGGAGTATAACTTGCTAAGTTGCCACTATGCTTGGCGTTTGTGGACTATGAGAAAGCCTTTGATTCAATCGAAACCTGGGCGGTGCTGCAGTCCTAGCGATGCCATATCGACTACAGATATGTCGAGGTGCTAAAGTGTTTGTATAGAAACGCCACCATGCGCATCCGACTCACGGAAGATAGCACGGAACCAATCCAATTACAGAAAGGCGTGAGACAGGGAGACGTGATTTCTCCGAAACTGTTCACCAACGCATTGGAGGGCGTTTTTAAGCTCTTAAACTGGAGTGTACTGGGCATCAATATCAATGGCGAATACATCTCACACCTCCGCTTCGCCGATGATGTAGTCATCATGGCGGAGTCGCTGGAGGACCTAAACACCATGCTCAGCGACCTCGATATCGTCTCCCACAGGTGGGTCTTAAAATGAACATGGACAAGACAAAAATCATGTCAAACATCCATGTTGCACCTGTACCGGTCATCGTTGGGAACGATATCCTCGAAGTTGTAGACCATTATACATACTTAGGGCAGATTATACAGCTAGGTAGGTCCAATTTCGACAAAGAGGTCGCCCGAAGAATCCAACTTGGATGGGCAGCTTCGGGAAGTTACGCGAAATCTTCTCATCGAAAATCCCTCAGTGCCTAAAGACCAGGATGTTCATCCAGTGTGTGTGTTGCCGGTGATGACGTATGGTACCGAGACGTGGTCCCTGACCGCTGGCCTTCTGGAGAAGCTCAAAGTCGCTCAGCGTGCGATGGAGAGAGCTATGCTCGGGGTTTCTTTGCGCGACAAAATCCGAAATATGGAAATTCGCCAAAAAACAAGAGTTACCGACATAGCTCGCAAAATCTGCAGACTGTGAAGAAGTGGCAATGAGCAGGCCACGTCGCTCGAAGGACTGACGGCAAATGGGCCAGGAAAGTCCTTGAGTGGAGACCACGGACCGGAAGACAAAGCGTAGGCAGGCCTCCCGCTAGAGGGACTGAACTACACTTCCGGACACTTGAATCGAGCCACATTACATTCCCGGGCCTAAAAGCCCATTACACAAAATACATGCAATATAACAAAAAAGTTATTATGCATTTTGAATGCTGGCATATTCCATCGTCTTTCCCGTATATATTCTTCCAAATTTGAATTTAATATAAAATTAAAATTTTAAAATAAAGAACAAAAGCCGAGCTTGGTCACTGATTTGAAAAAAATAATTACTGTAGAAAGTTACTTTTAAAGCAATTTAATTTCGATTTTGTTTGAATTTTCGCTAGTTTTGTTAACCAAAGTTTAGTTTAGTTGTTTTTCTTTAATTTGAATCGCTTTTGGCTATAAAATTATGGATACTTCACCTGAAGTAGCCGCGCAAGCTGTAGCACTTCTCCAATCTGAGCTAAGTCAGCGAGATGTGAGTTCACAACTTCTCATAAGTCGTTCCGCTGTCCAAAGAGTGTACCATCGATACCTGGAGACTGGCGGCTTCGTTCGGAACAGGAGGACCTCGTTACCGGGTGACAACGGCTAGACAAGATCAATACATTGTCACTACCAGCTTACGCAATCGACGCCTTACCTCTATTCAAATACAAGAACAGCTCAGGGACTTTCACGGAGTGGCTGTAAGTGCCCGGACCGTTAGAAGGCGACTCAATGAACGTGGTTTAAATCCCCATTTGACATTCCCATTGCCAGCCAATGGACCCAAATTGACACGAGCACACCGAATAGCCCGTTTAGACTTTGCGTGCGAACATCTAAATTGGACTCGACATCAATGAAGCCAGGTTCTCTTCACAGATGAGTCCAAGATAATGCTATACGGTAATGACGGAAGGAGTAAGGTGTACCGAAGAGAGAACGAGCGTTTCGCGCAATGTTGTATTGACGAAAGAGTGAGTTATGGTGGAGGATCATGGACTGTCTGGGGAGGAATCTCTAAAACAACAAAGGAAGGCAAAACTGAGCTAGAGGTAGTAACGGGACTACGACTGCCGCCCCTAGATGGCAATAGATACATTCGCCAATGTTTAGAGAACCATGTGATGCCATATGCTGGAATTATTTATTTATTTATTGGCCAAGATTTCGTTTTAATGCATGATAATGCAAGGGCCCATACTGCGGGAATCGTCAGGCAGTACTTAAATGACATTGATATCACTGATATGAATCCTATAGAGCATCTATGGGATGAGCTGAAGAGGCGTGTTCGAGCTCATCATCCTACCCCGCAAACCACGGAGGAGCTCAAAAATGTAATTTTGGAAGAATGGGAGGACATTCCTCAACATGTCATAACGACATTGATTAATTCTATGCCAAACCGTATGAGAGCTGTCATAAATGCACGGGGAGGCAATACAAGTTACTAAATAAACATTTCTTTTCATTTAAAACATTTTTTTATTTAAAAATCGATTAGATTTTTTTCTTTGAAAAAAGCAAATATGGACTTGTTTCAACGTAACTCGACTTTTTTAATAAACTGTAGTTCAAATTTAGAACAGTGGCACTCTAAATGAATGTTGATTAAACCAGCTCCAAAACTGCATCAAAACACTTTCCTTCTACATAGATTTTTTACAAGTTACAGTTCTCCAAACCAAAAAATCAAGGTGGCTGGATTTAGGTGTCCGGAAGTGTATATACCACTGTACATTTTATTGTCATCAGTAGCTTCTGCCAGCAGCTTCGGCCGCGTCCCAGTGGGATAAAAGGTAGCATATGTGTTATTCCACACCATAATCTACCTCTGTTACAAATTGTATCCCGCTCCCATCAGCCGTTTTGAAATGTTTGAGTAACAAACATACACACAAACATATTTTATGTTAATTAGTTAGAGTATCTCTAATCTCCACAGTTGGATGAGAGTGCAGAGTTCATTCGCGGTGCTCACGCCGCGCCGCACTCCTCTGAGCTAGAACTGACGGACTGCAGTCATGGTCAGTATAAATAATAATAATTATTATGTTTGTACTTCTTCATTATAATTTTCGAACCTCTTTCATTATAGAGTCATTTCTATTAATCCCCATAGTTGGCAGACGGGTTAGAACCATAATTTTGGTCACTAAAATGTGGGGCTGAGTATCAAAGGGTCGTCTAAGAGTTTACTGCGATCCCCAGCCCGTGTTCCAAGTGCGGTGATTAATGGAAAGTGTTGCCCCGTTGTCCCGCAGAGTGTGCGTGTGTGCGGGAGTTGTGCTGGCGTCTATCGAGCGTGCAGCTGCAGCGCGCGCTGCGCTCACACCGCGCCGCGCTGGCCGCGCTGCTGCACGAGGCGGCCCGCCGGGGGACGCAGGTAGGGCCCGTTGTCACAGAGTTGTGCTGGCGCCTGTCGAGCGTGCAGCTGCAGCGCGCGCTGCGCTCACACCGCGCCGCGCTGGCCGCGCTGCTGCACGAGGCGGCCCGCCGGGGGACGCAGGTAGGGCCCGTTGTCACAGAGTTGTGCTGGCGCCTGTCGAGCGTGCAGCTGCAGCGCGCGCTGCGCTCACACCGCGCCGCGCTGGCCGCGCTGCTGCACGAGGCGGCCCGCCGGGGGACGCAGGTAGGGCCCGTTGTCACAGAGTTGTGCTGGCGCCTGTCGAGCGTGCAGCTGCAGCGCTCACACCGCGCCGCGCTGGCCGCGCTGCTGCACGAGGCGGCCCGCCGGGGGACGCAGGTAGGGCCCGTTGTCACAGAGTTGTGCTGGCGCCTGTCGAGCGTGCAGCTGCAGCGCGCGCTGCGCTCACACCGCGCCGCGCTGGCCGCGCTGCTGCACGAGGCGGCCCGCCGGGGGACGCAGGTAGGGCCCGTTGTCACAGAGTTGTGCTGGCGCCTGTCGAGCGTGCAGCTGCAGCGCGCGCTGCGCTCACACCGCGCCGCGCTGGCCGCGCTGCTGCACGAGGCGGCCCGCCGGGGGACGCAGGTAGGGCCCGTTGTCACAGAGTTGTGCTGGCGCCTGTCGAGCGTGCAGCTGCAGCGCGCGCTGCGCTCACACCGCGCCGCGCTGGCCGCGCTGCTGCACGAGGCGGCCCGCCGGGGGACGCAGGTAGGGCCCGTTGTCACAGAGTTGTGCTGGCGCCTGTCGAGCGTGCAGCTGCAGCGCTCACACCGCCGCGCCGCGCTGGCCGCGCTGCTGCACGAGGCGGCCCGCCGGGGGACGCAGGTAGGGCCCGTTGTCACAGAGTTGTGCTGGCGCCTGTCGAGCGTGCAGCTGCAGCGCTCACACCGCGCCGCGCTGGCCGCGCTGCTGCACGAGGCGGCCCGCCGGGGGACGCAGGTAGGGCCCGTTGTCACAGAGTTGTGCTGGCGCCTGTCGAGCGTGCAGCTGCAGCGCGCGCTGCGCTCACACCGCGCCGCGCTGGCCGCGCTGCTGCACGAGGCGGCCCGCCGGGGGACGCAGGTAGGGCCCGTTGTCACAGAGTTGTGCTGGCGCCTGTCGAGCGTGCAGCTGCAGCGCTCACACCGCGCCGCGCTGGCCGCGCTGCTGGACGAGGCGGCCCGCCGGGGGACGCAGGTAGGGCCCGTTGTCACAGAGTTGTGCTGGCGCCTGTCGAGCGTGCAGCTGCAGCGCGCGCTGCGCTCACACCGCGCCGCGCTGGCCGCGCTGCTGCACGAGGCGGCCCGCCGGGGGACGCAGGTAGGGCCCGTTGTCACAGAGTTGTGCTGGCGCCTGTCGAGCGTGCAGCTGCAGCGCGCGCTGCGCTCACACCGCGCCGCGCTGGCCGCGCTGCTGCACGAGGCGGCCCGCCGGGGGACGCAGGTAGGGCCCGTTGTCACAGAGTTGTGCTGGCGCCTGTCGAGCGTGCAGCTGCAGCGCTCACACCGCGCCGCGCTGGCCGCGCTGCTGCACGAGGCGGCCCGCCGGGGGACGCAGGTAGGGCCCGTTGTCACAGGGTTGTGCTGGCGCCTGTCGAGCGTGCAGCTGCAGCGCTCACACCGCGCCGCGCTGGCCGCGCTGCTGCACGAGGCGGCCCGCCGGGGGACGCAGGTAGGGCCCGTTGTCACAGAGTTGTGCTGGCGCCTGTCGAGCGTGCAGCTGCAGCGCGCGCTGCGCTTACACCGCGCCGCGCTGGCCGCGCTGCTGCACGAGGCGGCCCGCCGGGGGACGCAGTAGGGCCCGTTGTCACAGAGTTGTGCTGGCGCCTGTCGAGCGTGCAGCTGCAGCGCTCACACCGCGCCGCGCTGGCCGCGCTGCTGCACGAGGCGGCCCGCCGGGGGACGCAGGTAGGGCCCGTTGTCACAGAGTTGTGCTGGCGCCTGTCGAGCGTGCAGCTGCAGCGCTCACACCGCGCCGCGCTGGCCGCGCTGCTGCACGAGGCGGCCCGCCGGGGGACGCAGGTAGGGCCCGTTGTCACAGAGTTGTGCTGGCGCCTGTCGAGCGTGCAGCTGCAGCGCTCACACCGCGCCGCGCTGGCCGCGCTGCTGCACGAGGCGGCCCGCCGGGGACGCAGGTAGGGCCCGTTGTCACAGAGTTGTGCTGGCGCCTGTCGAGCGTGCAGCTGCAGCGCTCACACCGCGCCGCGCTGGCCGCGCTGCTGCACGAGGCGGCCCGCCGGGGGACGCAGGTAGGGCCCGTTGTCACAGAGTTGTGCTGGCGCCTGTCGAGCGTGCAGCTGCAGCGCTCACACCGCGCCGCGCTGGCCGCGCTGCTGCACGAGGCGGCCCGCCGGGGACGCAGGTAGGGCCCGTTGTCACAGAGTTGTGCTGGCGCCTGTCGAGCGTGCAGCTGCAGCCCACACACCGCGCCGCGCTGGCCGCGCTGCTGCACGAGGCGGCCCGCCGGGGGACGCAGGTAGGGCCCGTTGTCACAGAGTTGTGCTGGCGCCTGTCGAGCGTGCAGCTGCAGCGCTCACACCGCGCCGCGCTGGCCGCGCTGCTGCACGAGGCGGCCCGCCGGGGGACGCAGGTAGGGCCCGTTGTCACAGAGTTGTGCTGGCGCCTGTCGAGCGTGCAGCTGCAGCGCTCACACCCGCGCCGCGCTGGCCGCGCTGCTGCACGAGGCGGCCCGCCGGGGGACGCAGGTAGGGCCCGTTGTCACAGAGTTGTGCTGGCGCCTGTCGAGCGTGCAGCTGCAGCGCTCACACCGCGCCGCGCTGGCCGCGCTGCTGCACGAGGCGGCCCGCCGGGGGACGCAGGTAGGGCCCGTTGTCACAGAGTTGTGCTGGCGCCTGTCGAGCGTGCAGCTGCAGCGCTCACACCGCGCCGCGCTGGCCGCGCTGCTGCACGAGGCGGCCCGCCGGGGGACGCAGGTAGGGCCCGTTGTCACAGAGTTGTGCTGGCGCCTGTCGAGCGTGCAGCTGCAGCGCGCGCTGCGCTCACACCGCGCCGCGCTGGCCGCGCTGCTGCACGAGGTGGCCCGCCGGGGGACGCAGGTAGGGCCCGTTGTCACAGAGTTGTGCTGGCGCCTGTCGAGCGTGCAGCTGCAGCCCTCACACCGCGCCGCGCTGGCCGCGCTGCTGCACGAGGCGGCCCGCCGGGGACGCAGGTAGGGCCCGTTGTCACAGAGTTGTGCTGGCGCCTGTCGAGCGTGCAGCTGCAGCGCTCACACCGCGCCGCGCTGGCCGCGCTGCTGCACGAGGCGGCCCGCCGGGGGACGCAGGTAGGGCCCGTTGTCACAGAGTTGTGCTGGCGCCTGTCGAGCGTGCAGCTGCAGCGCTCACACCGCGCCGCGCTGGCCGCGCTGCTGCACGAGGCGGCCCGCCGGGGACGCAGGTAGGGCCCGTTGTCACAGAGTTGTGCTGGCGCCTGTCGAGCGTGCAGCTGCAGCGCTCACCCGCGCCGCGCTGGCCGCGCTGCTGCACGAGGCGGCCCGCCGGGGGACGCAGGTAGGGCCCGTTGTCACAGAGTTGTGCTGGCGCCTGTCGAGCGTGCAGCTGCAGCGCGCGCTGCGCTCACACCGCGCCGCGCTGGCCGCGCTGCTGCACGAGGTGGCCCGCCGGGGGACGCAGGTAGGGCCCGTTGTCACAGAGTTGTGCTGGCGCCTGTCGAGCGTGCAGCTGCAGCGCTCACACCGCGCCGCGCTGGCCGCGCTGCTGCACGAGGCGGCCCGCCGGGGACGCAGGTAGGGCCCGTTGTCACAGAGTTGTGCTGGCGCCTGTCGAGCGTGCAGCTGCAGCGCTCACACCGCGCCGCGCTGGCCGCGCTGCTGCACGAGGCGGCCCGCCGGGGGACGCAGGTAGGGCCCGTTGTCACAGAGTTGTGCTGGCGCCTGTCGAGCGTGCAGCTGCAGCGCTCACACCGCGCCGCGCTGGCCGCGCTGCTGCACGAGGCGGCCCGCCGGGGACGCAGGTAGGGCCCGTTGTCACAGAGTTGTGCTGGCGCCTGTCGAGCGTGCAGCTGCAGCGCGCGCTGCGCTCACACCGCGCCGCGCTGGCCGCGCTGCTGCACGAGGCGGCCCGCCGGGGACGCAGGTAGGGCCCGTTGTCACAGAGTTGTGCTGGCGCCTGTCGAGCGTGCAGCTGCAGCGCTCACACCGCGCCGCGCTGGCCGCGCTGCTGCACGAGGCGGCCCGCCGGGGGACGCAGGTAGGGCCCGTTGTCACAGAGTTGTGCTGGCGCCTGTCGAGCGTGCAGCTGCAGCGCTCACACCCGCGCCGCGCTGGCCGCGCTGCTGCACGAGGCGGCCCGCCGGGGACGCAGGTAGGGCCCGTTGTCACAGAGTTGTGCTGGCGCCTGTCGAGCGTGCAGCTGCAGCGCGCGCTGCGCTCACACCGCGCCGCGCTGGCCGCGCTGCTGCACGAGGCGGCCCGCGGGGACGCAGGTAGGGCCCGTTGTCACAGAGTTGTGCTGGCGCCTGTCGAGCGTGCAGCTGCAGCGCTCACACCGCGCCGCGCTGGCCGCGCTGCTGCACGAGGCGGCCCGCCGGGGACGCAGGTAGGGCCCGTTGTCACAGAGTTGTGCTGGCGCCTGTCGAGCGTGCAGCTGCAGCGCTCACACCCGCGCCGCGCTGGCCGCGCTGCTGCACGAGGCGGCCCGCCGGGGACGCAGGTAGGGCCCGTTGTCACAGAGTTGTGCTGGCGCCTGTCGAGCGTGCAGCTGCAGCGCTCACACCGCGCCGCGCTGGCCGCGCTGCTGCACGAGGCGGCCCGCCGGGGGACGCAGGTAGGGCCCGTTGTCACAGAGTTGTGCTGGCGCCTGTCGAGCGTGCAGCTGCAGCGCGCGCTGCGCTCACACCGCGCCGCGCTGGCCGCGCTGCTGCACGAGGCGGCCCGCCGGGGGACGCAGGTAGGGCCCGTTGTCACAGAGTTGTGCTGGCGCCTGTCGAGCGTGCAGCTGCAGCGCTCACGCACCCGCCGCGCTGGCCGCGCTGCTGCACGAGGCGGCCCGCCGGGGACGCAGGTAGGGCCCGTTGTCACAGAGTTGTGCTGGCGCCTGTCGAGCGTGCAGCTGCAGCGCTCACACCGCGCCGCGCTGGCCGCGCTGCTGCACGAGGCGGCCCGCCGGGGGACGCAGGTAGGGCCCGTTGTCACAGGGTTGTGCTGGCGCCTGTCGAGCGTGCAGCTGCAGCGCTCACACCGCGCCGCGCTGGCCGCGCTGCTGCACGAGGCGGCCCGCCGGGGGACGCAGGTAGGGCCCGTTGTCACAGAGTTGTGCTGGCGCCTGTCGAGCGTGCAGCTGCAGCGCGCGCTGCGCTCACACCGCGCCGCGCTGGCCGCGCTGCTGCACGAGGCGGCCCGCCGGGGGACGCAGGTAGGGCCCGTTGTCACAGAGCTGTGCTGGCGCCTGTCGAGCGTGCAGCTGCAGCGCTCACACCGCGCCGCGCTGGCCGCGCTGCTGCACGAGGCGGCCCGCCGGGGGACGCAGGTAGGGCCCGTTGTCACAGAGTTGTGCTGGCGCCTGTCGAGCGTGCAGCTGCAGCGCTCACACCGCGCCGCGCTGGCCGCGCTGCTGCACGAGGCGGCCCGCCGGGGGACGCAGGTAGGGCCGACGCAGACGGATCTCCTGATGGTAAGCAATCGGCACCGCCCATGGATACTCAAAACACCAAGGCGTTACAAGTGCGTTACTGGCCTTTTGAGGATTGTTGGGGATTCAGGGATTGCGGAGATTGGGGAAGGGGAGTGGGTAATAGGATCTTCGATAATCTCACTCAGACAACGAAACAACGTTGTTTCCCTATGGTTTTCTCCTCGGCCGTGGTATCACTCAGGTCGAGCCGGCCCATTCGTGCCGAAGCATGACTCTCCCATACTTTTCTTAACAAGAAATACTTAGCCTTTTCTAATATTCCACAGTTCACCTCATCCTTGCAGCCAACAGTCCCCCTAGACGTGCCAGTCCGTGACACCGACCCCCCGGCCCCACACCCCGACCCCATACTTGGGGGTTCGCACCGCGCCGGCAGGGGGCGCGGCAGGCTACACCAACTTGATAACAACCTCTTTGGCCTGGGACGAGGGAGAGCATACAGGTTGTAATTGTAAAATAACCACAAAATGACATTGTCATCATCATCATTCTGTAAACATCCCACTGTTGACCAAAGGCCTCTTCTCACACGGAGAAGGTTTGAGCATTAATCACCACGGTTGCTCAATATAATTAGAAAAAGTCCAGGTTTCCTCACGATGTTTTCCTTCACCGTTTGTCAGTGGTGTACTTATAAACAATCCTAGAAAATACTGTATCCTTAAGATTAAGAAGCGACCACGTTAATCTAACACAAAAAGAATGAATTATAACTAACTTCGTACCGCCTCAAAACATTTTTTTTCTCTTAACTTTTTCAGTCACACTTTTAACTGGTTATGTATATATTTTATTAAATTATACTGAAATGCTTAAAAATCAATATAAACAAATATGAAGCATACTTCAAAAATACATTTCTAAGAAAAGGTGGTTAGCTACAGTGACCACCTAGACTGAAAGAGTGAACCTTCCCTGGCCTTCCATGGACATTTCGAGATCAAAATGAGCCAAATCAGTTCAGTCGTTCTTGGGTTTGAGCGAGACTAACGAACGGAAATACATTTTTATTTATATAGATAAATGATTTTCGGTTTAGTCACGTAACTAGGGAGTCGACTAGTCGTACTGCTTATGAATAAATAGCCCCTGATAAGGCTTGAAACTAGTCGAGATCCACTGTTCATGTCGTGAGACGACCTGGTAAAGGTATTGGCTTCCAACCTCGCGATGTGGAATCATTACGGAGGACTGTAGGAGGCAGTGTATAGTACATGGTTGTACGCGTGATGATGGTGATGATGTATCAGTGAAAACCAAAAGTATATGTATACTCCTTATACTCCTCAATTTCCTGTCATTTAGACCTCATATATATTGTTAGGGATCGGATTTTCGATACTTATATACTTTCCTGTAAAGTGAAAATATAAGGTAGTAGTAATAAGACGTTACATTCTTATTATCCTATCATTGTTCTTCTGAATAGGAACCGTTTTAAAACAGAGGTTTTTTAAATCTTAAGCTTTTCATTTAATGGCTTCCATATGGACAGAATCAAATTTATTTTCAATGTGAATTAAGATATTTTTAAAAACCAGGTTCATTGTGATATACATAAACCGAATCATTCAAATATCTTGGTAAATTTTCTTTTTTTATGGGCAAAATTGGACATATAATACGTCACTGATACGGTACCGGTATATCGGTATACGGTTGTATCGTAAATCCGAACCCACTGTATATTTACATATAAATAAATAGTATTAGGTAATCATAGTGTTCCTATTTAGTAAATAAATTGTATAGCAGAGTATAAAGTAATAAAGTAAAGATTTTCTCAATGTAAAGACTGCCTCGTTGGCCGAGTCGACTGTTGTTGCAAGTGCCACTGCCGGGCAAAGGGCCTCGGGTTCGATTCCCGGATCAAGCAAAATATTACTGTTTTTTTTTTTAATTCTCAGTAGTACCACGGAATCTGGAAATGTGCCCGGTATATATAATCTGGAAATAGTGAAAAGTAAGTGTTACATTGTACAGTGGTATTAAGTGCTGTAATGTGCACCTCTGCCCTTTAGGGACAAAAGTCGTGATGTTATGTGTTATAAAGTTTATTACTTTAGTAAATATACAAATGGTTATAGGGAAGATGACCGCCGTACTCAGAGTCGTTGAATGGTAACTCAACCCAGTTCTTAGAGATTGTGAAGTATGTCAGCGTATGTGTTGCAAAAGAAAACACGTCTGGTTTTGTCAAGCGTTTATTAGAGACTGCCCTTAGAGTATAATAAGTATACTAAAGTACATATAATACTATATATAAGTAAGTACAAAATCGTTACTGAGAAGTACTTTAAATCATCATTCGATGTCTCTGAGTACGGCTGCGGCAGTGATACGACATTGACGACAATTAACTTTCATTAATCATAATGTTTTCGACTTACTGAAGTAACTGTTTGACGATTAACTCGACTGGTTAGTAGTAGCTGCTCATGAAGGTGAGCCTCTAGCATGGCTTGAAACTAGTCGAGTTCCTCGTCAAATAGTTACGTGGCTAAGCCGAAAACAAAATATTTATGTAGTACTAGCTTTTAGCCGCGGCTTCGCTCTCGTCACAAAAGGATAAAAAGTAGCCTATGTGACATATACCAATACATACTGCGCCATCTATACCAATACTTTTGTTTTCCCTCGGGAATGTCAAATTTTTTCGGGATAAAAAGTACCCTATTATTTAATCCAGACTACTAACTTTACGTCTGCAAAAATTCAAAGCAATCGGTTTAGTAGTTACGGCGTGAAGTCGGAACAAACAAACAAACTGGATAAGGATGTATCGCTAAAGGTTATATTATAAACAATTAATTTTCAATATTTGTGAAGATTTATTGTTTCTTTAAAACGTAAATTGTAGAAGTACCGAAGCTTGTAAACTTGTTTTGGTCCCGCAGTCGGGTAAAGACGACAAATGGAACGAGTTCATCGCGTAGCCTACATCTGTATCCTTAGCCAAACGCCACTGTAGCGCTTGTCTACAGAGAGAGTAGAAATCAAAATGTATGGGGATGACACTGACAAAAGTGAAAATTTTCGTCAATCCCATATAATTTGGTTTTCGATTCTACATGTAGACAAGCGTTAAACGGCATTTGGCTACAGCTGCTGGCAAGGAAACGATTTTTTTAAGTACAAAAGAAATTAATCAAGTGTTCTCGGTTTATTCTTCTATGTGTAAGGCAATTATAAATTTTAAGTGCAGATAATAAGGTTGCTTTTTCACGCACAATGCTAATACAAGAAAAACAGTGAAAATAATACGTATTTGTATTATATTCGTCCACTACACGCATCTTCCCTATGACAAATATATTTGGCTGTAGAATGCTATGACACTCATAGCCTCTGTGTGATTGTGATCTCATGTTTTGTTATGTTTCATGTCAAATTGTTGTAATATTACAAATGACAGTAATGTTAATGTTTGATTGTAAAATATTCAGTACTTGGTCTGTAGTATGTGATTGTGATACAAAGTGCGCGTCCTCTTGTGTTTTACTGTTATTAAAACATTTATTTTTGTAATTTATATTGTTTTATTTATTACTGCCTCGTTGGCCGACTGCCTTGCAAGGGGTCTCGGGTTCGATTCCCGGGTGGGGCAAAGTATTACTGAGTTTTTTAAAAAATCTCAGTAGCACGGAGTCTGGAACTGTGCCCGGTATATATATATATATATATATATATATTTTTTTTTTTTTTAAACGTTGCCCCACACTAGGATTTTCTCCTGTGTCGTGGGTGCGTTTACAAACATAAAAGTTCACATACACAATGACACCCAGACCCGAAACAACAATTTGTGGATCACACAAAGTGTTGTCTCGTGCGGGAATCGAACCCGCGACACGTTGCACGGCAGCCAGTTGCCCAGCCACCGCACCAACCGTGCAGTCATATGTCATAGTCATATGGCAATAGGCTCACCCTCTATTACATAGGACTCGTAACATAGATAGTGAAAAGTGGAAAAGTAGGAAACAAACATACACACAGACTGACAAACTATCGCATTTATATTATTATCGCGCGTATACGGGAAAACAAGTCAATCATAAGCCGTACTTAATATCGTGCCATCTCTGTGAGTTTACAAAGAATTTGTAGTTACAGAACAATATGATAGCGCGACTAGCCTTTCAGTATTTCAGCATAAGTACCGTAAAATGGGATGAATAGATTTGGAGGGTTGAATAGATACAGGAATGGGGTGAATAAATATTAGTTCATTTTCTCAATATATATTCACTCCTCTTCTGTATCTATTCACCCCGTTGTATCGTAAATAAATGACCTTTATATATCTACAATACAAAATAATGATACTTTATTGCACACAATATTTGTAAGTTAGTACATAGACAGTACCTACACGGCACAACAATAGTTTTATATCGCTAACTGCGATGGCAATCATTATAGTTAATTATGAACATGATTACACATGTTTTACAAAGCATTTCATTGAAATTACAATATAATTATAATAGTAAATGGCTGAGATAAGGACCTATCTAAAAATAAATGTTCATTATATATAGGTACTATAGCTTTCGACCTTTGAACGAACTGAAGAAGTAATTATAGTAGGTAGATATAGGTATTACTTAAAATTAAATATTATAATGGCTAACTTCCTTGGATCATGATTACCGTACGATCTCCTACGGTAATCTCCTTTATTTATTTTAGATTTAAATCAGCATGTATCGCCTGAGGTGTCTTACTCAAAAATTACATCCAATAAATTCATTTCTTCCTTAGTAATATTATTTTCTGGTAAGTATAAAATAGTGCGCTTGTTCTGCGCAAAACTCACGTCACAATGTCCAGTCTCGCAGAAAATTCGATAAAAACTTCACATCAAAATTAATTGCCCTCAATTTTAATTATTTGGAAACGTCCCTTATATTACATTCACTTATTACTACACTTATTTTATTACACTTATCTAAATAATACGTTAGTTATTTAATATTTTACTATTACCTACGGCCTGTTCTATTGCTACCAAGTAGGTTTCATTGAAAAATATTTTAATATGTACAAGCATTTTCTTGGAAAATACACCAAATTATGTGTTCTGTATGTAGGCCTCTATTAAATAACGACACTCGAGTCGAGATATCTTCTCAAGCTAGGTACAGTTAAAATGAGATGCAAATATACGTGTAACCCTTCCGAACTTCCTATGCTTGAACTGAGATCTCCACTAGAGTGTCGTTCCATTATAAGGGCTTTGACTAACAGAATTATAAAGAAATTCCTGAATCAAAAACTGATGTGAATCAAGCCCTAAGTCATTTCTTATTCAATTTTACGAATTATTTCATCAGTTCAAGCATGTTTAGTTCTCTCCCGGAACATGAGTGGCAGACCAGCCTTGATGCTCTGCACCACACTGGAGAGTGGATCCACGACAGGATGCCTCACTGTCTCCTTGGCAGGTTCCACCGTGAAGCAAGACAGCACTGCTGCCAGCCCGGCTAGTGACTGCATCAGACCTAGGCGCTCACCTGGAACAGTAACATGTATTGTTAATAATATAATCAGGGGCATATTAAACCTAGAGACAGTGGCGTAGCGTGCCTTGGCGGGGCTTCTTATAAATATTTAATGGGGGCCCTTATAAAAAGTAAAGATGAAAAAATATATATTATAACTTTCGTGAGACACACTAAATGAATTATTATGATTTTCGGCTTGCTCACGTAATTATTTAAGGAGGAACTCGACTAGTTTCAAGCTATGCTAGAGGGTCAAATTCATGAGCAGCATTTCACGACCCGTGACGCTGCGACTGTCGCGCTGCTACTGGGTAGCGCGACAGCGCTCAGCAAAACTAGTCGTGTTAAATAATTATATTTACGTAAATAAGTCGAAAAACAATATTTAAAAAAAAGTTATGCATAAAATAGTAACAATCTGTGTGTTGCTCTCTAGGCTAGAGAGCACCTTAAGCAAGCACCTCATAGGCGCTCACTCTGTCACCCTGGGCAGTTGGGCACGCGCCCCTTTGTGACACTTGCTAATACGGCTCTGAATATAGGCAATAGGCATAAAGAAAATTTTTGTGTTAGATAATGGACGACAAATGCGAAAAGAAAACGATTTACATTAGTGTGGGACACTATGTCTCATAAAGCTAACTATTATCCGGAAAAAGCCAATAGATGTTTTAACAATTATGTCAAAAAATATTAGGTACTGCCGGGTGCCCAATCCTACCTCCATCTCTAATCCGGCAACGCATTTGTATGTGTTGCTAAATTTGTTAATACAAAAGAAGTCTCTAAACATCGGAAATAAGGTCTATAATGTAGTTATAGTGGAGAACGGTCACCGGTGACCGCTTGGGGATACACGAGTTAGACATAGACACCCATGGGCGGTACCGATTGCTTACCATCAGGTGATCCGTCTACTGCCATAAAAAGTCACCTATGAATAATAAAAAATAATAATAAAAATATCATGTGACTTACCTATACAAGCTCTGGGTCCGCCTCCGAAAGGTAAGTACACGTATTTGTTGTTAGCGTCAAACTCGTCCGGCTCGAACCGCTCCGGGCGGAACACGTGCGGCTCGGGGAAGTACTTCGGGTCATTGTGCAGCGACTGGAGAGGAATTAGAGCTCGCACGCCCTCGTCTATCGTCAGGTTCAGGTCCGGGAACGTGAATGACTTCGTACACTGTCGCAACAGGAACCCGAGCGACGGGAACATACGTAGCCCTTCCTTGAACACGTTCTCCAAGTAGTGCATCTCTCTGACTGCGTCGTACGACAGCTTCCCGTCGTGTTTGGCCAACACGCGGTCGATCTCCTCCTGCGCCTTCTTCTGAACGTCCTGGTGATACGCTAGCTGATGTAGAGTATAGCTGGTCGCTGATGACGAGGTCTCGAAGCCAGCAGCGAAGAACACAAACACTTGAGCAGGAATCAGCGAGTCGGTGAACTCCAGAGTGACTGTCTCCGCGGTGCCGTCGGGTTTCTTATTCTGTATCGACTCTCCGACCATCACTCCCTTCTGCTTACACTCCAACATTAAATCTAAGAAGTCTCCTCTCCCGCAGGGCTTGTAGTCTCTCTTCTTCAATATCTCTACGACAAGCTCGTTGATGTCATTCTCCACTCGAGTCCATATCTTTAGATTCCTGCCCAGTTCTGGAAACAATTCTTTTGCAATGGCTGTAATTATTTCTTGAGGTCTCATTTTAAATATTTTAATTCCGAGCTGTCTGAACGGGGAGTCCTCATCGTTCAGTGAGTCGGCGTCGAGTCCGAAGCCGCAGGCTCCTATGAAGTCAGTGGTATACCTCGCCATTAAGTCGCGCGCGTCCAGAGACTTGCCCTCAGCGGCCGCAGTCAGCGCTCGTGTCTTCAGTTTTTCTGCTCTCTCAACTATTAACGGGAACATGGCCTTCAGTTTGCCCGTAGTGAAGGCTGGTGTCATTCTCTGTCTGAGCAGCTTCCAGAGATCTCCCTCAGCGAAGAACAAGTTCTGCATCAGAGGCTCAAACACCGTCTTATGGGGAGTGAAGCCACGCTCGAAGAAGTGGGCAAAGTCGGTGATCAGGATACGTTTCGCAATTTCTGGATCTCTTATAAGTAACTCAGGTCGCGAGGAGCGGTAGAATCCGACGACTTTTTCGTTGGGATATCTCCAGTAGATCTCGTCAGCTACTTGTGTCATGCTGGACCGGAACAGGTAGCCCTGCAGGTTGTTTCCGAACAGTGGGAGTGGCTTGTCATGTTTCACTCCTCTGTCCTCCCAGTACTTGAAGTTCCTCGTACCGTAGAAGTACAGAGTGATGAGCAGCACCACTACTACGGCGATGACGATCATCTTGTCAGATGATACTGCGAGGTGTTTCAATAGAGGGCAGCACTAGAGCTTCACGATCTGCAACATAATACTGATAATTAACAGACTTACTTATCATAATATTTGGATAATTTTATAAACAAACAGTTTTGTTGTATCATTGTAGGTATTAAATCATTTAGATAACATTATCATACAAGTTGATGATAAAGTTGTTGATTGTGACTTAAAGGTATTATAGGCGCTTTGTTAAATTATGAATTGACCTAGGAACAAGGCTACTGTTTAAATGAAAGCAGCTAACTAGCCGCAATGTGTAACATACATAGGAACTGTAACCGCAGCTCGTATCATTAGGAAATAAATAATATCGTACAATAAATCTTAAGGAAAATGTTATTTGACATTGAAACTTATAAATCAACTGGTTTGCAAGACTTTGTATACATTTAAGTTATTAAGTAGGTGAGTATAGAGCTACTAATTTTTAATCACAACCTCTACCTTAAATCGAAAATATGTACTTAGTTAATAAATAGACAAGTACGTTAAGAAAATATAAACATTTCCGAAATCCGACTAAAGACCGCGATATTCCGTCTGTGCTTGTTCAAAAAAAAAAAAAAACAATGCTCAAACATTGACGCAAGTTGGTTATAACTACTTACCTACTCATTATAGAACGATAATCAAAATATAATCAAATACCATGCAGTACCTACCTACAGTAAAATAATTTTACGAAATTACAGCACAGCGCAGAATTTGCTATGTAGGTACCTATTTCAATTAGGCACCACACCTAATTGAACGCCGGCGAATACAAAAAAGCTGCGTGTTTTATTAACAAAGTAGTGAACTATACATTTCCTCCGACACAATTATATAATCATATGTATTAAACTTAATTAAAATAATTATATTTACGTGTTGAGCAAGGAACTTACCAAAAAATAATATCTAAAACACAATGTAAACAAGCGCGAATGTATTTCAGCACAAAAACTGCGCGTCAGCTCGCGTCCGCGGCGAGCGACTGTGTGTGTTTGGTGTACTCCACAATAACAACGCAGGATATAAATAGAGCCGGCGTCGCGGAACCAGATAACTCACAGATTATAGCTATCTGCCACTTGCACTGGAGTACCGAATGTTTTATCTAACACTTATAGGTGTCATGGCATCGATTTGTTGTAGGTTTAGAGAGATTCGATGTATCGTGACATGACCGTGCATATTTATATCTTTAATTATGTAGTTATTGTATATTGATAATCTTCAGGCTGTATTGTGTGGACTTTGCACTTACAATATTAATCAATAGTATGTGATTAGTTTTCCGTCTGAAGCTTGACCCGCAGTGGCCGCAGTACCTACTCATATCTTGACAAACTTCCCTTCTACTCACTGGAGAAAACTGCATCAAAATCGAATTAGGTGTTTTTGAATTTGAATAACAAACACAGTGGAAGATACTTCTCCTTAGTTAGCAACGCACTTGTGATGCCTCTAGTGTTGCTGGTGTACTTATTCTACTAAGACTACGTCGGCTACCGCGCCGGCTTACCATTAGACAGCCCATAAGGCTTGTTGCTAACACAACTAGAGTAAGGAGGACTCAGAAGGAGGCGGGGGCCGTGAGGCGGGAATCACGGGATGATCTCCAGCCACCCTAAGCTCGGGCCTGCGGACGGCGAGCATGGGTAGATCGCCCCCCAACCAGAATAAGTCCGCGCGTGTCTCAAACAAAAAGCCATCAGACCACCTCGGATGGGGCCCAATAGGGCTGATGCTGATACAGAGCCGCGAAGGACTTAACGGGTTGCCGGGACACCGGCTCGAAGTGCAGGAGTAGGAACGGGGTGGTTTCTAATCAGTAAGAGTCTGACACTCCTTTTCACCTCACCAAGGCGCGAGAAGTGTCTTTTCCTCCTTAAAAAATGGTAACTAGAGTATATAGGTGCCTAAACTTTATTTTGCACCTACTCTGGGTATCATTTAGACCTCTGGTATCACAAAATTCTTAAACATTACCAACCTATTGTTATTATTTAATATTCCTCAGTAGTTTCGTCAGGTTACAAAGTCCAAAGCTCGCGTCATTCATTCCGTCTGGTCTACAACTCGTTTCGAAATGTAACGATGAATCAGCACAAAGCGCCGGCTGTTTCCAAGACGAGTTACCTGGAGGATTTACATAATGTTATTTGTTTTTGCATAGAGATTTACTTCATTTCACAATACATAATGTTATTGCACACATTAAACAATAAGAGCAAACCATAAGATGTATGTACAGATTGTACAGAGCCGTATTATCTCTAAGCATGGGCGTAGCCACACTGGGGCAAGCTGGGGCACTTGCCCCACCCTGGGCCCTGGCTCTGACCCATAAGGTGTCTGAATAAACAATGTTTTTTTTACTAACTCTAACTATCAACATCAACAATCATACTATCCGTTATTGCACAAAAAAAATTGTCGACTTTGAAAAGAGCGCGATCAAAACAAAATGCACGCTCGAGTTCCCGAACGTGCGCGGTGCGCGCGTCATTTGAAAGCGAGCCGTATTCCCTAAAAGAATAGGTACTGTGGCGTTTTTTTTTAAAAAAAAAAGCGGGAAAATCATCGAATGACTGCTCCCGCCTGGGTGAGGCGGAAGGAAGTGTCAGACTCTTTAGACTCTTACTGACTAAAAACAACCCCGTTCCTTCTCCTGCACGTCGAGCCGGAGCCCCGGTTACTCGTTAGGTTCTCCCCGACTTCGGATCGGCATCGGCCTTGTTGAGCCCCATCTGTGGTGGTCTGATGGCTCTTTGAGGCGCGCGCGGAACGCGACGCGCTTTATGCTCGGGTCTATTTCTGGTCGGACGGGGAGCCCATGCTCGCCGCCCGCAGGCCCGCGCTTACGGTGGCCGGACATCGTCCCGCGATCCTCGGTGTGTCCTTCGCGATGGTTGGTTTGCGAGGAGGCAGCGCTTCGCTGCCTCACGCGTCCCGCCTTGTGGCGTAGTGAGCCGAGCCGTCCATCACCGTGCGGTCACTCATCCCAAGCGCAGACTAAAATCTTCTATAGCTCGTGGCGCGATTTGTATTGTTTGCTTGTTAACCGACTTCAAAAAAGGAGGAGGTTATACGTTCGGCCGGTATGTTGCTTTTTTTTTTTTTTTTGTATGTACGCGCATAACTCTGAGATGCGTGAAGCGATTTGCAAAATTTTTGTTTTGTTGGAAAGGGTATACTCCCAAGATGGTCCCATTTCCATGAGGTCAGGATCTGATGATGGGATCTTAGGGAAACCGAGGGGAACTTTGGAAAATTATATGGGCGAGTGATGCGTCTATTATGTTTTCAATTAGGATTTTTAAACACTACAATTTGATAAGGGTCTGGAGTCGACCTGATGATGGAGCCGATAGACAGTCGAGGGAACTCTTAACTACCTTGGGAGGGAGGTAACTACCTTGTGTTTGGGCTTGATTAATTTGTATTGATGAGGACTTTACACCTAGATAGAGTAGGGCTGTCATTAAGGGTCTGATGATGAAGAAGTGTAATTGTTAAGGGAACTCCTCAACGGTATACTGTAACTACCTTGTGTTTAGGCTTGTATAATTTTTATTGATTAGAACTTTGCACCTATGTAGATTATAAGTAACAAAACGGGTATATGTAGCTTTACACTGAAAATGATAAAATAATAAAATAAAAACTGCGTTTAAAAAACCGACTTCAAAAAACCAAAAACTAATAACAAACAAAAAGTCTAAACTAAAAAGCAAAAAATAACTATTATTAGTACTGATAGGTTACCCACCCACTGATAGGTTAGAAGTCGGTGCTGCAAAATTGTGAATTAGGTACCTATTAAGGTTGTAATGAATAATTTTGTATGGAACTATCATAGAAGTATCATAGTTGAGGGAACTCCTCAGCGGTTACCAGTGGCTATCTTGTGTTAATTTTTGTAAATCAAGTGATTCTTTCCAAAGCGAGGCTGAGATGTGTTATAATTTGAGGGAATAAAAAAATACGGACATTAATGCATTGAAGGAGATGGAACTGGTAGATGTGATCAAAATTTCGGAAATGCAATTTTATCCTAGTGTAAAAACAGCGCTCGCTATTTTGCTTGCCCAGACCTGTACGACCTGTACAATAAATAGAACGATCGTTTAGTACATTACGGCGGGTCAAAACGTGGCTTCAACTATGACCGAAAATTGTATAAGCGGCCTATGTATGCTAAGTGTGCACAGAACAAGGGTCTCAGAATCAAAAAAGAAATTTTTAGAAGAAGTGCTTAACAGGTTCTGCCAGAACACACGCCGTCTTCTCTTGAAGTACCTAATATTACTCATAAATATACTTAGTTAAAACTTTAATTTATAAACACCGAGTATTCATAAATAAAACTATAAAATCTGTCCTGTGTGCGATTGTTTATTTTCTGTACCTGAAAATATAAACCTCTCAAATTAAGAGATTAACAAGTTTGAGATTAACGGCTCAAGGTACAAAAAATCGGAGGGCCACCGCCCTCCCCCGGGGATAGGTTGACTGCTGCCCCACCCTGAGCCCAAAGCTGGCTACGCCCATGTCTCTAAGGCAAATTAGACAAGGGCCGAGCGCCAGTTTACATAGGGCGCGTGCTTAACCGCCCATGTAAATATTGTAATGTATAATTAAGTAATAATTATGACTCTGCCTGTCGAAATGGTACAGTCTCTCACTCAACAGCTTTAAAGTAAGAAGCCCCAGCACTACATCAATTAGTCAGCTACTGCAACTTAACCAATACTCAACTCTACGCAACTGAAACTATTACTCACCTCCAGAGAATGCATTTTGTCTAAAGTGAGCAGTTTGTTCAGTTTGTTTCTGAGTGTCCTGCTAGATCAGGCTTCTACTTAGTACCTAATTGATTGTAAACAACTTAACACGTGTAAATGCATGTAGGTTGTCTGGTGTCTGTCCGTGTGTCCACTATCAATATGTGAGTCACGCACTCTAACTAACTA